TTCTGATCTGAACGTAAGTAAATTCTAGTAAACAACATTTTGCGACCCAATTTAACCCAATTAACTAAATAAACAACCTCAAGTGTGCGTTAAATCCTCTTATCCCCAACCTTGCATCAGATATGCAATCTACTGTACATATGTATAGGCGTAAAAAAATTGGCAGAAACAAAAGTTGTTATTGTCAATTGTTTAAAACGTATACTTCCTATCTATTTGTTTTCAGTAGTTTGTTTTATCTAGTAAATTTGAGGAGCACCAGCGTACGAGCAACTGCTTAAATTTGTTTTACCGAAAATACGCATGGGCAAATACAGGCGCTCTCTCTTCCGTGGCCGATGCCTACTCCAGGTAATGTGCACAGTTTACTCTCACTCCTTGATGACGGGCGTTCACTACGCCCATTTGCCAGTGGTGTTGCCTCCCCGCACTCGACCTACAGACACTGGTCGCGGACAATCATACTTCCCACCAGTCCCTCAAAAGCTGACCTCGCCTTGTGTTTGGCGTGAGAACCAGGAGCACTGATCACAAGACCTTTACAAACACTGTCCAGTTCTCATATTTTCATAAGCAATGTACTTATATGGGCCCGGTGATGAAGTACTGAAAACATAGGTTCGCTAAATGGACTGACTGAAAACATGCACAACATATAAATTATTGTTCTAATTTGGTAAAAATTAAACATTCTTAAACTTTTATACGCAAAAAATCATATAAGTAGGTTTTAAAAAGCTTGGCTAGTTTCGAATTACTTGACTTTCGATCTACAGTTTTATTATGGTTTTGGCCGTACAAGTTGTTTTTTTACCAGTTAAATCAACTCCTTTCCTTTAGTATCATTTTGATGCTGCCAACTAGAACCCAGTACATTTTGTAATGGTTGTGAACTAGGCTGTTTTCCCTATAAGAAACATTAAAGAACGCAGAAACACCATATCATTTGAATGAACATTTCATGATCTTAAAAAGTCACATAATTATTTAGGAGGTTTGTCAGATTTGCTTAATTTAGTTAACCTAACTGTGAAAAAACTCGCGACTTTCGGCGGGATTTGAACCCACATAACAGGAAAGGCCTTTACACGGCCAGTTCAAGGGGTAGCGTTTGTAGCTCAAGTGGTAGAGCGTTGGATGCGTAAAGGCCTTCCCTGCTATACGGGTTCACAGCCCGCCGAAAGCCGCGAGTTTTTAGACAATTGGGTTAACCAAATTAAGTAAATCTGCCAAACCTATTGAATAATTAAGTCAGCCTAGTAGTCGTTATGGTGGATTCTATATGATTGCTTAGGAAATCCTGCTTGGACTGTCAGCTTTCTGTTCCGTATTGGTGGATTCCATACGAGCGGTAAATTTGGGCGGGTAAAATCGATCCAAGTGTGATTAACTTAAAGGCGCAACGCGTGGTGTTTGTAGCTCAAGTGGTGGAGCATTGACTGTGTAAAGGCCTTCCCTGCTATGTGGGTTCAAATCCCGCCGAACGCAACGAGTTTTTTACAATTAGATCAACTAACTCGCATAATTATGATAAAAAACACCTGATAGATGCACATGAGTGCAATAAAGATTTGCTGATGCATACTTTCTGCCTAATATGTGCGAATTTAAAAGGGCATCAAAAATTAAATTTGGGAATATCTTATTGCATAAACAGCCACCTTTCTATTCGACTGGGGGCTTTTCTGGCTGTTTCAAGGAAACTCATTCAGAAACCCATCTCCTGTTAGCGTGACTGAAATCCTTCGTGGCAGACCTTTTTAGGCGTAAGCTGAAGCTTTCAGCCGAAAGCCATCAGCTACTACGATATGATCCTGTAATATTCACAAACTTCCTAAAGACAGTCAGTAGTATTAAACATGTAATTACTTATCATAATAAGAGAACCTGTACTGGCTAAAAGTACTCAGTCTGAAAAGCTCTGCTCTGAACGATTTACTCCAAGTTTGCATAGAAATTTCGTTGGAAGTTAAACGAAACAGGCTAAACCAATTAATGAGTTGAACTCCTCACATCTGCCTCTGACCTCGGCACAAGATCGGAGAATCACATCCGTCTGTACTTTTAACTGGTAGCTATGCTGACATAAGCGACTATGCTATTTCCTGGAAGAAGGTCAGAAGAAGAAGGTGCAATCACTGGAACAACAGTTTTATTTTCCTGACGTTTCGCATTCTGTCGAGAATCCTTAATCATAGGTAACCGTAGGATCGTGTGAGACATGCGCGGATGGGAACGATACATGCACGGATTGCATGGCATTCGTAGCTGATAATCAATAGTACGCATGCGTATGACAGCTACGAACTATAAGTACCATGCAATCTGTGCATGTGTCACCCCCATCGGCGCATGTCTCACGCTATCCTACGGTTACATATGATTAAGGATTCTCGACAGAATCCGAAACGTGGGAAATATAAAATTATTGTCCCACCGATCGCATGATCTTCTTCTGGTAGCTGGGCTGCCAGAATGATGTATAATTACGCAGTATATTATGTTTATGCTTATGTTGCACGATAATAAATCTCACAGGTCCAGGATTTCCTTCCTCGCACCTCGTTCGCTTGATAAATGTAGGCTCGTTAATCTGTCTGTCGTTCAAATGAGTGGACTTTTAACGGTTATTACAGCTGGCCAACGGCTATATTGCTGCTGGATATCGGTTGGGATTTTCTTTTATTTCAAACTAAATGCGGTAATCTCTCCCAGTAGATCTCGAATTCTCTGTCTCTCAGACTCCTACTACATTGGCCTGCATGTATTCCTATCCGTTCCAAAACACGCCTTTGCGGAAAAGCGATATGTTTAACAGAAGCGACTATACGAGCGCCCATTATTTCAAAATATTTCTAAAAACTAACCCATCACAAGGGCGACAACAACACTTTACAAACCTGGATGCCATGTTTCGAAATCATCTTCTCTCGCCGTCGCACCATATTTTGCACCGGCATACCACCCAGGTAGAGGGGTTCGTAAAAATTGAAATTACGTGCACGGTCGCGAAAGGGTATGGTAATGTTGAAGATCTGCGGTGGTCTTGACTCCGCCTCGATACTCAGAGTTAGAAAGGCGTCCGATACAGCCGTCCTAAAGAAAAAAACAGAAAGGATAAGCAAGCGATGCATGTCAGTACTTTTGGAAGTAAAAAAATGTTTTATCATGTCATTTGAGTAGTAGAGATGACTTGGACGGCTGTCTCCTTCCTCCAACCCTCCCCCACCACACCTAACTCAGACTGTGTGTCAGCTCCGAATATCTTGGCAGTCTGCACTGTTTGTTGGATTGGCGAAAGGCAGACTAGTTCAGTATATTAAGGGTAGTAGGCAGTGCCTTTGTAGACCCTATTAAAAATAGCTTACATAAAATATCCATCATAAATATGTTACCATAAAATAGTGAGTAACATATACATATGTACAATTTTGTTATCTGTATGTGCGACCATAGCGTTCATGTCTACTAGCAATGCTTTCCCGTGTGTATGAACGGTATCTACCAAGTAAATATGCGTCCAGTATGCGCTTGAATGCATCTGTCGCGTTCGCCATTACGACCTCCTCCGGCATTCTGTTCCAGGCACCGATGAATCGCTGTGAAAACGAATGCCTGCGGAGATCTAGAAGGGGTAAGGTTCACCGCAGTTTGAGGGAATTCCCATGGAGGTTGATTGATGTAAGGGTTTAGGGTTAGTTTTAGGGTTAGGCAGATTGACAGGATTTACTGTTTTGAAAGTTGCCAACACTTTTTATTAATTACTTGTGCCTAGTAGTTATCTGGTGGATTCCAGTTTGATTGCTTAGGAAATCCTGTTTGAGCAGGCAGTCTACGCTATTGGTATTGGTGGATTGTCTGTACGCTGCAGCAGGCTGGGCGAGCGTGACTAAACTCATGATCTCCGGTGGGGGTCACATAGTTAAGCTGGCTAGAGATTTGGCTATACTAAAGCCTTTGCGTTGCGGTCATAGGTTCGAATCCCACCCAGAGCCCCGCCGAGTTTTTCACAACTGGGTCAAATGAACTTCCCGATTTTGAGAATTTCTCCACTCTGAGAAGAAGACGACTCGATCGCTGTGACAATCCTTTTGTTCGCCTGACGTTTCAATATCCCTCGCGGATTCATCATCAGAGACATAATCACAGCGCAGTAACAAATACAGGTAGTGTGTGCACGGGGTTTTGCCGTTTAAGACTGTTAACATTTAAACGTGTGCAAAAAATGCTAACTGTTTCGGTGTGAGTGCTGATTGGCTACGCCACGCGTAGGATGAATTGGTGGTCTGGCTGTTCCCCAAATGGCGATTTTCTGTGGCTAAATTGAGCCTCACTACCGAATATGGAATGGGCAAATCAGTTATCGATTTTTGCACACGTTTAAATTTTAACTGTCTTAAACGGCAAAACTCCGGTGCACACACTACCTGTATCTGCTACTGCGCTGTGATTATGTCTCCGATGATGAATCCACGACGGATATCGAAACTTCAGGCAAATAAAAGTATTTT